CCGTTGTACGTTGTGCCCTCGGGCGAGAAGCCAATCGGGCTACGTTACGATTCGCATACGACCGAAATCGATCTCCCTCGTCGCATTGGCATCGGTGACAGTTCTCCGAAGGATCCGATAGGATCTTCGACAGTTTTCGATCGTCGTTCATGTTCTAAACGCGTTACGAACGTGTCTTTATGCCTCTCGTTCTTTATTTGTAATCATAACTCTTTGAAACCTGTCGAATTACGGTTTAGTTTAAAGGATATACCGTTGTCGTTGGACTACCCTACTTTGCGTCGGTGTACAGAACTAAACGACGTTCGATCCTCAATCGGAAAACGCGTACATGAACGTGTGATAGCAATAGCGTGGCAAATCGATCGTAGATACGCAGAATTGTATCTGGGCATCGCGGGCGTTGTCGTGCTACTCAGTTTTTCCGCGGAACGATTTAAGTGAAGTCGCGACAGTCAACGAGAAGAAGGGGTAGCGTAGGAAATCGTAGTCGAGTTGCGGCCGGATCGGTCGAGTTAAGTCGGGTCAGGTCGAGTCGAGCAGAGGTACCAACAGGGCGGTCGCAAATATTGGTATTTGGCAAAGACTATCCTTGATCCGTGTCTCTCTTTCTCTTTCTCCGCGCCTCCTTGTCATCGCACCCCCACGCCTGTGCATTCTCTCGCTTCCCGTCGTCACCCTCCTCTTTCGTCGGTCGTTGTCTCTTTCTTCATCCGCTTCCGGATCGGGCCCCGTCGCCGTACCAGCCTCCCAGAATGAACCAAATTCTTCCGCGAATGAGACAGCTTTGAGAAATCAACGTGAATTATTTTAATGTTCTTATTCGTAGGAGCGTTGGGTGCTAAAGGGCGCGCGCGCGCGCGAGTCCGTCTCGTCGCCGGAGCAAAGAGAACAGGTTGCCCGGGTGGCTCGAGCGCGGTTCGGGTGTACTCGAGAATAATAAACGGGTAGCAAGCCGGGGCGGCTTATCCTCCCGCGATAGGAACGATATTTTTTTCCGAATGATCGCGCGACAATCGAGTCCCGTTCGGAATTTTCGCGCGGGGGTATGGCAGCGCGTTCTAATATTTACTTCGGGGAACTGTAAAAATGACGAGCCGGCGAATACGTTACACGTGAAAAAATCTATGACGCGCGAGCGGCGATTTGCTAAACGCCAACACGATGCTCCGATCCACGGGCTACAGCTACCAGGCCAGCGCAAATAATCCTCGATATTTTGAAAAACTTTTTGCCTTTTTATAATCCTCCTGCAGAGCAGATTCGATGCAGTCGAAACGTATGTTTGGAGAATTCGGAAATGTTGCGCACGTCGATGCGTGAGCGGCGTCCTCCGTTCGGTTTCATTAAATTGGCATTCGTTTCGGTACCAGATGCGATTGATATTAGATATCGCAAAATATTTATCGTCCAAGTAATATTGAAATATTTTGTTCAGAAGCCAAGAACATAAATGCGCACGAATATCGTAGTGACTATTTTCTCATTAAATATCAGGAGTTTGGAAAGAATTTTTGATCGTTGCAATCGAAACCTGAACTGGTTGAAAATATCCCAGCTCCACGACAATAAAAATGTGTTTAAAATCATTTTAATCGATAACGTTTAATACGTTTCTTCGTGTAATTGTCGTGACACGGCGTTCGTCAGGTGCGATTATCAAATTATATTTAATGGAAATTCTCACGGGCAGCGAATCGTGTCCCCAATTGCTTTAACGCAACCATGACTCTCCACGAGCGTTCATGTTTGTTCAAGCAGGAGCGACGCTATCGCATTCTCATGCCGGGAAATCTCCCAGATAGTCTTCTTCTTGGTCTCGCTGATGCGCGTGAATTCTATCGTTAAGCATCCTTCACACACACGCCACAGCTATAAACAGTTTATCAATCTTTATGCAGTTATTATATGAAAATGATATAATTCAGAAATATAGAAAAATCGAGATTTTCCATCGTGTCGATTGATATTTCAATATGACAAAAATCTAATTGCATCATTGGATAAGAAATTCAATGTTTCTTCAGACAACCGAAAAAGCGTTTAAGATGAAATCGAGAAACTACATAGAAAAATCGCTGGTGCTCCAAATTTGTAGAAGGAATCAAAGATTAAGATTGCGATCGGTAAACTGTCGACTGTTTGAGAGGTCCCTATACAACCGAGAATGTTTGTGAAGCTCGACAGGAAGCAGTTGCACGTTATTTTTGTGGCGACTCTGTGAGCGCGGCTTAACGATCGGTCGTGGCGAGGTACGGAGTTTGGTGTGACGGAACGGCGAGATACAGCCAAGGTACACAGGGGAAAGCAGCACGGTGCAAAGCAAACGTGCGACTACTAAGGCTAATCTCAGAAATGATAACGCCGAGACAACGTCGCCGGCCCAGATGTCAGACGTTACGACTCGCCACAAGAAACGCGTTGTTACCGTGCTCGCCTGTTATCCGTTTCACGCTCCCAACTATGGAATTCCCAGTTTCCACACAAACTTGCGAAGGGTACCTGTTCCCGTGAACTAACATCGCTCCTCCGCGATAATCTCCGCTTCAGGATCTTCGTATTCCCATGCCTCGCGCGGTTAGGCTACTTTTATAATTGCAGGGTAAGATTTCGATAGGGGAGGATGGGGAAGAAAACAGTGTAAGCATCTATCGGTCAGGATTTCCAAATAGTATTAACATTGTTGATTCAAGCATCAACAATTTCCCCATTCATTTTCGTTATTTCCATAATTCGATCGGACCATTTCGAGTTACCTCGCCTCTGTCAGCCAACTATCTCGCGTTCAACAAACGATACGATTAAAACTAGAACCCAGGGAATGAGGATAATATATCACGTTTGACGCCAATAGAACAGCCCACTTCCGTAACAATGCGCCGGCTAATTAAGGTTGACGCGAGTCCGGTCTTTGTATCGGGCAACCCTCGCTCAGTCGAGCTCGAGACTCGTCGACACGTATGGAATCCTTTTATCGGACCGATTATCAACGTTTACGATCGACCACCACCTTGTTCCGTCGGTCTCCCTTCTCTTGCCTTTGTTTTCGCAGAACCGTTTTGCCGACGGGATCACGGGGGGTGAGATTCCGTCGTTATCCGTGAAATCGGGTAACCTCCAGTGCCGAAAGTGATCTGAAACGATCTTACGTCACGATTCGCCACGTGCACTCGAGCGTTATAATTATAACGATTAAAAAGCTGTAAAAACGTGTCGCGGCATTGAAACCCAGTCTTCCGTGAGACCGGAAATGAATCCTCCGCATTTAGCGCGAGTACACGTGCCGGGGACACAACGAACGCTTGTTTCGAGAAATCGAATCAAAAGGCGAAACACCTGCGGCACACGTCTTTTTTTTTTGTTGGACACAACGCGTTTCGGGAAGATACGTTCGATAAGAATTCCTCCTGAATGGCATCTGATTGCTGGACAATAAGATTCTTAGAGAATTCGAATAGAAAGGTAAACTATGTTCCTTTCTTTTCTACTCTAATTCGAATATATTATACCTTCTTGCTCTGTGGCAGACAATGAGCCACGCCAGTTGTTCAAATGTCGATCCCTAATGTTGAAAACTAGAGTTTTACCTTCCATTTTTCTATTACGTTTAGAAATGATTAAACAAATTCGATAAGATGCGCATTTATGTCATATTATAGAAAGTATGAGACCCACTTTAGAAGATGATAGCATAGTAATCAATGAAAATAGTTACGGATGTATTGGCTATACAGTCAATCCCAAAAGTTTATGCACTTTAGAAACGCATTTTTTAAAAAGAAATCAGACGTCGGAAGAACATTGCTAATAGGAAACAANGTACATAAACTTTTGGGATTGACAGTATAGCCAATACATCCTTAATATGTTCTTGCATTTGAAGGGAAGTGAACCTTTTTTCAAAGAACGATATAAATCGTTGTTTCTGCGAAGAATTCATCCCTTTCTTCGCACTAGTATTTCCATTATGACTACAAAACCTATGTTTAGCGTACGGTTAAATCGAGAACAGTCGACAGATTGGCCATGAGCGAACATATGGTGGTCATCCGCAGTTTTGTAGGCGCACCTCGTCGCCCTTTCAACGTCGACCCTAACCAGGTTCTTCTGTATTCGTTCGTGCCCGATCTTTCAAAGCTCGAGGCAATTGCCTGTCCACTTATTATGTTTTAACAACGCCACTTCTAATGACATAAATCAGACACGGAATACTAATGGGAGATAGGAATTGCGTGGGTGTACACGTAAAGGGAAAATCTGAATTAATGGTCAATTGCGTTTCCATTGAAAGTGGCAAACAGGAATTATTATACGATTATTTCTGTCCCCCGCTGTAACTACGTGGGAATTCGAAGTTCCATTCTAATCTCTACGTCGATAACAGGTGCCCCTAAGGCATTTGAAACGATTCGTTCGGCCGATTCCATGCGATTTTCATGGTATATCCGGCTCGGTTTTGCACGATACTTTTTACCAAATCGTTGGGAAATCCTCGACGCAACCCAGGAAACCGAATCGTCGAGGGATAGTAGGGACGTAGTGGCCGTGTCTAATCGACGGACGGTCAGTGGTGCCTCGAAATACCCTCGGACTTTCTAACTATTCTCGATCACTTGTACCCCGAAGATTACGCGTTCACAAATCGTGGTCGCCGCGTTTGAACCAGTTTCGCCTAACAGGATCTAAATCCCCGCAGCGGAAGGTAGATTTCATGGGAACGGATTTCGATCGATCTCAGACTTCGCGTATTCTTACGTTAGTTTTTGTGGGTGGAGATTTAGATTTGGAGGAACGACCGGTGAACGAGGAAATTGATTAATCGAGAACGACAGTTCGAATGGGTTTGAGAAATACGTCAGGTGAACAAAGCCAGTTTTGATACCTCAGAATTAAATGACATTTGGAGAAAGAACAACAAAAGCAATTTATTCAAAGGAACGATACTTCAAAAATACATTTCCAAAGGACATAAAAAGGCATCGATAAACATTGGTTCGGACTCAAATTTTCTTCACTTTGGACAGAGGCTCGTCCGTTAGGTTCCTTCTGTTCGGCACCCACGATTTTGGTACGTTCGCGTTCGGCGTCGTCGAGCTCTGCTTACGCTTTTTACTTCTCCCGCTTTTCGACCGTGGCCTCGTTTTCGTCGGCCGTTTCTCATTCTTCTTCCTCTGCGATCGAACTCGACGAACTGGCACCATCCTACGTTTCACGAAGTTCGCTTTCCCACCGTCGGGATCGAATCTACGTAAAGAGAAATTACGATGGATATTCGTGAGAACCACTTCAACCCTAATTTCATTTATGTATTTATTCCGTTCACGTGTTACAAGAACCCACTTCCATACAAAATATTATACAAATAACAACAAGAAGTAGAAACATAGATTAATTTGTCCTAAGTAGTGCAAATATAGTGACACGCAGAGTATCGAGTATCGATAAAGAGTATAATCATTAAGTGTATAGTTGAAGATAAACTTTTATGCGAAAAAGACCCTGAAAATTGTCGGTTTAAAAATCCGTCATAGTAGATCCGTTTTATAAAATGATATGCTTATGGGGTCACCTAAATTTCTTATTCCTCTTGGCAAGAATGCCAAAATCGAGGCCACGGCGAAGAGCCACGGTCACTTGCTTCCGAAGTGCCTTTCCAGCGGTGATGTTGTGCTTGTTGCTGATCTGCTCGATGATCTCCTTCTCGGAGAAGCCCTCTTCCGGCTGCTCCGTCCTCAGCAGGTCGTACACGAGGACCGACTTCCGCACCATCTCGATCTTCGGTTCGGCTCTCGTCAAAGGGTCGATCGATGGCAGAATATGCCGGAAAGTAACATAACGACGGAGCACGCGAAACGAAACGAGCTGACGTCGCCGATACGAAGTCAGCCGTTCGCCTTCCGGCCGATTTCATCGTTCGATTCGCACGACTCCTACGTTCAAGCGGTTCGAATTTTTTCCCTTTGCCAATTTCGTCGATACGTATATATATACACGTTCTTTTCCGAATTTTCATTTCGAGCTTCCGCTTTGGCGAAAACGAAAACTAATAAAACGCTGCGTTTGTTCATCGAGCCTGCTAGAAATTGCATTTTGAAATCACGTTTACTTTTTACACGGCCTGTTTGGTTGCTCTAGTATTTGCGCTCGCCGCATTTATTGCGTCCCTTCGCGACATGCGTCGGAACCAGCCGAACGACATCGTTCGTATTAAAAACTTGGAAAAATCTACATTCGAAGCGTAGCTAAAAATTATATTCGACTCCGTCCCATGTGGTTGTCACGGATAATCAGAATCCGTTGGAATTCACCGAAGAACCACAGTCGCTCTCTTCTTGTATTTCCCTCGTAGTTCATTCGAAATCGCTACCATCTTTGGACACGTTGCACCTGAGCTCCAGCCATCCGCGCGTTCGTCGCATCCACAGGATTCCACGACGAAGCTCCTCTGTTTGCCAAGAGGGATACGGATGCTGGAGGGTTTAGAAGGAACGGCTTTGGCTTTGAGGATACCTCCCGAAGGAGGAGGACAGGGCGGCCGAGGGAGCGGCAGCGGTGCGTCGTCGCCGGTGCTTAGAAAGAGGGAACACGGGTGGATGGCCAGCGACTCTGATTTCCGTCGGGAATTTCGCCCTATCCGGCGCAACCAGGCGAAGCCGCCTTTAATCATTCGATTGCCGCCGCTTAGAGTCCGCTTCCTCGGCCGGGACCGGTATCTAACCGCCCGCCATATTTACCCAACATCCGACGAGCCGGACACGTTACTCCTACGCCGCGTACCTTTAATCGATTTCCCGTTCCTCATCATTTTCTTTCGAGTCAACAATTAGAACGTTTTTAACTAGATCAAGGAATTTTCGTTTCCCAGCAGTAAAAATACAAGTCGAATTCGGATAGTTTTGCGTCCAATCTCGTTTCTATCATCACTCACGCGCTAATCAAATGAACGTTTCCAAATTTTTCTATAAGAAATCTTAATAAAATAATATAATCTCGTAAACGAGGAATATTTTATTCGTCGCCAGTAAAAATGTATCAACGGGAAAATCCCTTAAGCCCCCTGTACGTTCGCAGAGAATAGAAGATTCTGATTCCGACTCGCGGAAGAGGCTGCTCCGTGCGCAGCATCGTATAGGACGATAGAGAATCGAATCGCCTTTCCTTTTCTTCGTTCCTGTAGGACGGAGCCCGTCGGGCATCGGTTTCCCGGTTTCCTCGCCGCTTTTTCCAATTGTACCCGGCTCCGGCTCCGGCCACGATTCGCCCCCGGCCGGCCCTCGAAGTCAGGGCAAGTGGATTATTGACGGCACGAAACAATGCCGTAGCTTTGTTCCGCGCGTTTCGAACGTAATATGTTCGATGCAGCGGTAGGGCCTGTCCGTCCGTCAGTTTTGTGCGCGCATCGAGTGGCTCCGAGCCGGACTCCGCGGAGTGGCTCTCCCCGTCTCTCTCGCTAACAGTGAGTCAAGTACTCGTGCGGTACATCTGGCTGTCTGATCGATGTTTATTAAAAATCATACGAAATCTCCACCGCGTCACCCCTCCGCCCCTCTTGGTCCCGCGCTCTTTTTAGAGCATTCGACGCGGAAGTCGAGGAGCTGATACGGATTTCGGACAGATATCGAGTGCCCGCAGGGTTTCCAAGCCTGTGCCGAATGTTCCGAGAAATTCTGGATAACAATAGATAGAAATATAAATAGAGTATTCCATCAGCCGTCATTTGACTACGCTGGGTATTTAAATAAATCCGTACTTGAAGTTAAAATATCTGGCGCCATTAATGTTCCTCGAGTCGATCGCTATTAGAAACGAATAACATTGTTAAAAAAGCGTGTCGCGGAACGAACGCTTAAAGAACAGACGGCCAAACACTCGAACGGCAGTGGTGGTACAGCCGGTGTCGCCGATGGAAGAAGAGTACGGAAAGGTGGAACAGCGATTACATTTCAAGCCAGTCCGTGAGCGGCGACGGTAACGAAGGACCGGAGGAAGGATAGTCGAGGAATTAATTCGACTCGACCATCTTTTTTCCCCCCTTCTATTCCGTCCCTCTGGGGAGCAACTGGCTGCCTCTTTGAAGGAGGGCCAATAAAATCGTCCCGGGAATCTCCTTCTCCCTGTCCTCCGGGATAAGACGAGCACTCGACCGAGCTAAACTATCGGATCTTTTCGCGAGAGACTCCGAAGTCGCGGGGCGCGATTCCCGATTACTAATTCCGATTCGGAACTTCGTACGATTCCATAAAAACGACGAACATCGTTCCGAGTCGCTGAAACATTGGGCTCGTAATAAAACGCGGAAGTGTAGAAAGCTGTGCACGTTGGGGAACCGCGATCGAAGACGCCGAAATATCGAAACAGGAAGGCCTTCGAGGCGAGTCTCGTACCATTGGGAATAGGAAGGTTTTGCTATGGCGAATTTTGCCATGGAGGTCGTGATCCAACGTTCAAACATCCCTGTGGGCAAGAGCTTCGATTTGGTATCCGCCGGCGGTAACTACCGTGCAACCCCCGAGATTCAAAAGTGGTGCTCACCCCCGCGACCGAAATTTCCTGTTACGTATTCACTGCCTTTACGTTTAAATGATCGCGCGATCCGTGCGGCTGACCTAATTGCCCTCGAGCCCACTGAAATTTCGAAATCCGTCAGAATTGATTTTTACAAAATGGATAAGAAATAGGACAAACGACGGAGCGAAATGAACAATGTGTACACGTTTATAGCCTAGTCCTATGAATTTTAAGCGATGCTCATTAAGTTTATTACGTTCTACAATTAAAAACGGTAGGCAAAAGGGAAGAGACGAGTCCGCTGGCGGTGGACCCCTGTGAAACGTTTGAGCACCGCATGAAACCTTCTCCACGGGGGTGGAACAACGAGGGTGAGGTTTGACAGTGGCTGGTGGCTCGGAGGGATTCAATATAATCGCGCAATAAAATTCACTTACAAGCTATAGCCGTCCCTGTCCGCCCCTCGAAAGCGGCGCCTCTCTTTTACCGCGCCGTCAACCCCTGTCGATTCGTTTCTCGCTCGTTCCAAAAGCGGGCCTTCGTCCCGCTCGAAGCGTTCGGGGGAGTACACCGCCAAGTATTATCGTTCAGCTTTCGACGGAAGCTCCCTAGGCCCTAGACGACTCCCTTTTCACCTCCCACCCTCGCCCAGAAACTTCATTTTCGTTCCTTCGCCCCTTGCGTCTTCGAAGCCATTTTTAAGAAATATAACTAAACAATTTCAAGATGAATTAATAAAAAATGATCTTATCAAACCATCGATGAAAGTAGTGTCAAGATTCACTTTTTCGTTATACCTAATTATCTATCTTGTTTCGGATGAAGTTATTTCTACTCGTTTAATCGTCCTGACGTTTTTATCAATATCAGAATTTCTGTAAAACCGTTGAACGTTACTACGGCTTCTGTTATTCAGAATGGCCTTTGTCGTAACACGAATAATTTGGTGTAATTTCGTCGAAGCAACCAGTCCCCGACACGGACCGATCAATTGAGTGGACAATTTTCCATTAAATTATGCACTCGCAATCTCGGTATGTCGACGCACGTCGATCGAGCCAGTGTACGTTGCGTACACGGTGAATATAATAACGAGCTCTGCTATTTTCCTATTACGCTTACCTTGTATCGCTTCTCTCGAAGCTCGTTCCACAGAATTCGGTCGGCACGGAAAATACGAATCATCGTTACACGTATTTTTCATACTCCATTGCGACACTATTCGAAAGATGTATGCAATAATATTAGCGTGAAGCTGATTCAAGCATCGTGCGATATTCCTCGTTCATCCTCTCGGCAAGAGATTGAAATGAACAAGACGTATCCTGGATTAAACGCACTAATTCGAGGACTCTCTTTGTTTCTCTTCGCAAAAGAACCAAGAACAACGGACACGCGGAATGGTGCGATGCACCCTTGCTCTCTTTTCCATCCCCCGGCCCTCCCAATTTCAGTCGGATCCGTCCGGCAGGGAATACAATCAGACGTCTCGTAGCAGTAGTTGTATTCGGTATATCGCGTATGTTGACTCGGGGTATATTTGTCCAGCAATGGAGGCGCGTTGCTGCTGCTGGTTGAGAAGGGGTAGTGGGCACGGTTCAAATATCGTGTCGCTTCGTTCACCGCCGCGACGATTATAGACGCATTATCGTCGCGAAACGTACGGTGTTACCTGTGAAATCTCCCAAAGTCGAAAATTGTGATATAGAAGTTGCATCTCGGTTTGTAATACACTAATAAAGAAGAACATTTGAATGAAAATGATCTCGATATAATCATCTACGAAAGTCAATCGCAAGGGACGGAATAGAAATTATTTGGTGTCGCGAACGAGCGAGGAAAATCGTATTTTCCTTCGTCCGAGGAAAGTAGGACGTCGACGGGAGAACGTCGAAATCGGTATTGGCAATTGGCAGCGGCTCGTAATTACACACCCGTTAGAGGAGGTAACGAACGAGGCGGTCGAGAAGCAGATATCACTTGGCGAATCAATAAAACGTGTTTGGCTCGGTCAAACTGCGTGTCATCGCGTATCCATCTCGAACGCCAAACAAGTACACCGGCTATCATTTATCTCGATAATTATATGACCACTGATTACCGGTTCATTTTCTAGTAAATATTTAGCCGAGCTCGAAACGGGATACCCCGTGCCTCTGTGTCCGTATCCTGCTCTGGGAGACGCGGCTAATCTACCCGTTCCTCTAACAGCCAATTTCTCCCTTTATTCGTCGACCGAAAAATTACTGATTAAACAAACAGTTTCAGTGATCGAAAAGTACATGCAGGTACCAAAATTGTTCCTTGCTTTGAGGCTACTGATTAGGTATCTCGATTCGTTTACCCAGAGTAAAAACAGTCGTTCTTAGATCTGTATTTAACTGCTTCGAAATTAAGGAGATGGACTAAGGGGGTGGATTTAGGGGTTGGAGGTTCGACAGTGGCTGATAATACGAAACTGTGGATTTACTAGAACCCAGTTTTCGTTCTTAGGTCGGTATTAAACATCCCTAAAAGTCTCATAGGTCGCAGGACTCATCGGGAGGGTGCGTACATATATGTATTGTACATGAGGGGTATCTACTTAAACGGCAGGATGTAACATTGTAACATATGTACCATAGCAGCAGGATGGCAAGGATGAAAGGCGGAGCCAGCTGCAGCCAACCAGCAGCTAGGATTTCCATTTTAGCTCGTCTCGCAGGACTAACCGTGCAACCACGGCGAACCTCGTAAAAGTCCTGCAGCTACCATTAATCCAACGCGAGTCTATTCGCACGTTGCAACTTGCAGTTCACGCTTTCGCCCTCGGGGAATTTTAAATTTAGAAACTTTCCCCGTTAAGGCACTCCGTGGAAACTATCGATAAGACAGTTTTTAGTCCTGGTAGAATTTTTAAAAAGATAGAGATCGATTTCGATGCTTAGGTGGCAGTCAGCGAATTTCCAAAGGATCGCTCCTGCATGATGAGGAATAATAAGAATGACGGACGGCGCAGAATTTTTTAAGACTGTAATTCGAAGTTTGGACTAATGTTTATGGGTTGGAAACGAATGTTAATCAACGTTCCACGCGAGAAAAAAATAATATTCTACTCGGGTCACCGCGAATCGAAGAATGATCGCGGTGATGAACGATTTTCCGCGGTCCGATTCATTTGTTAATCGTTCGCGGAAAAGTGCGCTGGTCGCCGGCTAAACGATTTTAATACATCGCGAAACGCGATTCCGACGAATATATTAGCTTTCGAATTGTTTATCTGATTATCGGACATCGATCGAAGAATGGTTATTTATATAATGAATGAAATTTATTCGTACCGCGGATACCCGGGGGAATATATTATTGCACCAACGACGACGTTTGCCTTTCACTTCATAATGAACATTACATAACGAATCGCAATCGGTTTAATTAATATTATCACTGGACTGGACGAATTCATTAACGCAGGCACCGGACGCCGCGATTTTTCTAACGATCCACGATTATTATTATTATTATTATTGTTGTTATTATTATTATTATTATCTCCGCTACCGGAAATAATGCGATACGAGTTGAATTAACGAGGACGAGAGCATAAATAACGGGCTGAATTATGCGTACCAACTGCGAACCCGGACTGTATAAAACTCGAACGACATAATCTCCTGGAAATAATGCAATTTCATAGCTCGTTTAAATAATTATTCTTTAATGGGTCGCATGAAACGGTGTTAATATTTATGTGCGTATAGGTGCATTAAAAAGGGGGTAATTAAAAATACGAAATGAACTTTTCATCCTGACTCTTTTATTTATCAAACGCGTCGACTAAATGTACAATGATAATTTGAATCTCAAAAATTGTGTGTTACTAACGCATAAAAGTTACGGGACACTGATTGCATAATATAAAAACTGACTATGTCCCAAATCGGAATTTAAGCAGAAGTCACTGACTATTTCTCGATAGTAACTCTGGTTTCCAATTTAATAGTAAATTCATACAAGAAGGTATGGTTTACTCCAAAAATTATAAAACGAACTATTATAACTGAAACGTCCTGGCAAATAAAAGCTAGAAGCAAAGAGCAGAGAGAAAAGTGTACGATGATCACAGGAACTCGGAGCCAGGGGGAACGCGGGCATCAATCGACCGGTGGCATTCATTAAATCATAGAGACGCGTCGGTTACGCTCCGTTCCGCTCGTTTCTGCTCGACGTCGTCCGCCACCGATATACCAGCACGTTGCCCAATGAATAGGTCGTGTTTGCATAGGTCCCGAGGTGCAGCGCGCGTTGTTAGGGGATGCGAGGGGGCGAGGCGCGGAGCGGAGAGCGGACGCGAACGAGCGCGCACGCGAGCGTTCAACGACGGGGTAGAGTGCAGAGAATTCGAAACGTCGGGGCGAGAGAGACCGAGAGAAAGAGTGCAGCAGCAAGGAAGAGGGAAAGGCTCCTATGTACACTCAGCTGTCGGCCTGTTTTTACCCGCGCTCTTTTCTAAGCTCCTGCCCCGCCGCGGTCGATTCCAGTCCGACCTATCCTGGAAATCGTCCCCGTTCCCAAAGTGTGCGACGCTTTGAAAAATTTATTAAGAACGTTCGTTTCACGAGTAACACCCAAACCGGTTATCATCTTCCTGGAGTATCCAGGGTTTAGTTGGATAGAACACGGTCTGACTATATTCCATTTAATACTACTAGGATCTGCTCTTCTTTCCGGGATCAGTCCGTGAAAACATTCAATTTTCTTCAGTAGATCTGGATCGTCTGGTAACTCCTGGAATTCTGTATAGCTGTAACAAAAAATTTGCAGTAACTATTATTTAATGTAGTACAGTAAATTTCGGTTAATTGAAGCTCCGCTTATTTGGGGCACGTAAGAACGACTTCATTTTGCTTATGTGGGACAGAACGCAGTTCTATTGAGACAGTGTTTATCATAATGTCATATCATGTAGTAAAGCTAGCAGTGATTGTTTGCATCGATTAGCCGAGCATCTTGTATACCACCATTAATACAATTTTTATGGAAACTTAAATAGCCTCGCGACTTTTATTGCACGCAAGTGTCAGTTCAGTTGTAACGAAGCTGTAAGACGTAAACGCAGTTAGGGTTCAACGAGGGTCGATAATTGCCGTGACAGTCAACAACGTTAAAGACCGTGATCAATTTCGCAATGAAATCTGATTCGTGCCGCTGCCTCGACGACTACTATGCAAATAGGTTAAGAATACAGTTGCTTATTACTCGCCGCGAGGGACCCGGTGTTTGATGTGGCACACGTCGTGTGTGCTTAAACGTCGGGAGGGAAAGTAGCCGTTCGTGCTACGCAATTTTCGCGACTTCCCACCTTTTGTCCGACCGAGAGCTATAAGAACAGCTTCCACGGTGTCTCGATTAGAACAGGAATTTTTATATAAAAGTCTTCTATCAATAATAATGACAAACATTTGCATTTCCTTTTTCGGCAATAATTGCTCCTCCCGTTCGGGCTCTCACTATATTATCCTTGGTGGAAATGAAAAAAGCAGTAAAGGCACTGCAATAAACGGGACTGAACTCCCGAACTGCTACCGACCCGTTACCGGAAGGATAACAGGAGCGAGTAGGAAACAGGAAACGGAAGCGGAATCGCCGGGAGCAGAGCGAGAGCGACATTAAAGAAAATTAGACGTAAAACCTTGCTGTTCCAGAAATTGAGTTTCTTCGCCTTTGGCTAGCCGGCGGCCGAGCTCCGCGGGGATCTAATTATCAGTTTCGCAACTTTTGAAATTAATAAAACTCCCGTCCCTTTACCCACCGCCCTCGTTCAGCCCTCCTCGACACCCTTGCTCGGTCCCTCTTGTTATATTGCTCTTCCAAGTCTCGAAGAACCGACTTCTCTTTGAGACCGGACCGAAGTTGCTCGAACGGCCGGAGGATGAGGCACGGGAAAAGGAGTTTCCAAGTCTCCGGGAGCGCAGACAGGAAGGCTGTTTCGCGAGGCGCGGAATTTATCGGTCTTAATACGAACGAACCTCGAACCTCCGAGAGCCCGCGTGAAAGTTTTCAACCTCTGCTCGCATCAGACTGTTCTGCTCGATTCGCGGGTAGACAGCCTCTTCCTGGTTCTGTTAGTGTCGCGCTCGAAATCAAATTATCCGGAATCAAAGAAAATACGTCGGGACGACACTAGAGACCGATCGAATCACGCGAGGCGCGTAGCCGAGAGGAACGAGAACGTGCGGACACTCGAGGGTCGACCGCGTGTCTCGAAAACGCTTCGGGACCCGTCCACCGACGAAAGTAACATTTCTGTAACGGTGACGTGGAGCACCCTCGACCGGCCACGCGGGGACCCGTGGGTTGCCGAGGAGTAATTCGCTGTCACGACAAGCTGCGGTTTTACATCAAAATTCGAGTGCTCCATTGATACCGGTTTCCCCGTCGCGTCGCTCGACCATTATTCGCGTTTTCGTTTCGATTCTATAGGAGGCTCCGTCGAGAGGGACGAGCCGGGGGCCTGCGCTTTTCGAGTTTCGACCGCCTCGCGTTTAGTTTTATGATATATTCGTCGAATGGATTTTCCACATTCCTCGACGTTGAATATTTATAAGTCCAACGTTGGTCATGGATTCTCCTTATGCTCGTTTATGTTTCGAACCTATTCCAATTTAGAAGTACTCCTTATTTTCTGTCAACGATTAAAAATACACAGGATTAACCCCAATCCATTCTATGCATTGGCCGCTCGGTGGAAACAAAAACCAGATTGATCCGAAAAAAGACCCGAATAAAAAGCGCCCCCGGTTTAGAGACAATCGTCATCGAAGCAACTATCGTGGCCGCGAAAGCAACGACGAGGGATGTTTCGGGGTAGTGGAATAGGTGCAGTCTCCGTCGAAGTGGCCTCGGGGGATGGCTGGTCCGGGTCCTGGACGCAGAAACGAGCGAGACACGTTCGACCAGCAAATCAGAGTCGGTAATCCTGAGCGACAGGGAGGCTTAGCGCCCCTCCTGGAAATGGTACCGGCGGCGAGGGTGGCCAAGGAAGGGTGACCCCGCACCCCGTTCACCGGGCATTGTGCGCGGTCGCGCGCGCGATTACGGCCGTACACTGGCCCTGGCCGTGCGCGCATCCCCTCGAATCCTTGGCATCGGTAACCCCGTTGCGATCAAGGGTCGCGAATAATACCGGTTAAACGCTACATATTGCTCGATCGAACTGGAATTTAGCCGGGGATTCGAATAACGATTTGTCGCCCGGCTCCTTCGATCTCCCCTTCCCGGGGCGACGACGCATGCTAATTTATTTGTACGCAAAACGCAATCTTTTATTGCTAGGAGGAATCGTCTGCCTCGAAAGGATTTCTTGACAATATGTTTAGAACGTACTTATGTGCGTTCTCCGTTTAGTCTCCGTTTTAACGTATTGCACGTTAAGCGGAACGCAACTTTTCAACCCCCGCGAACTTCTTTCCCTTCCGCAGACAACTCGAAGGTAACCCCTCGTAATTCCGAAGCATCGATTCGCGCGCGTGAAGCTGAAAACCCGCGGAGCTATGAGAGACTCGGAACGAGTCGAGAGTGTCGCCGGCAGTGTTCACCCTCGTTCTTCCGCGGTTCTCCTCGTCGTCGGCTTCTTTTTTCCATCTCGCTCCGTCCTCGAACCGAAAACGGAGACGGCGAGGGTGGCGCGGCGCGGGCCGAAAGAGGCGAATTAAAATTCATGAACGCTTCGAGCGGCGTTGAATTAAAATTCATGGCGGAATTATCGTCGGCTCCTCGAAAACAAAGGAACGGGTCGAGTTAGGAGACCGTTCACGAAGTCGCGCGTACCTAGCCGCGGAAATCATCCCTGACGCGAGAGTTCCGCGCGACCGGGACCATTCCAGACCCTTCTCGTCGACTTTTTATCCGACCACCGCCCCCTCTTTTAAACCCGTTAACACCCGTCCGCGTTCGTTTCCCTATCCACCGTGCATAATGAGCCCGAGCCGATCGCTTAACAGGTTGTAATTCAATCGAACGAATTAGGACACGAGGCGATAATCGACCACTCGAATCGTTCCTCGAGATGCGATTTTTATGCAATATCCGACATGTTATTTTGATACAGGTTCTTTAATTTCGTTCTCAAAGAGGATTATCTTATCCAGTTCCCTCGTTCAATTTATCCTTAAACTTCTTCTACGTAATATCGTATATTCTATTTCTTCACCGCTTCTATACTTCCATCGTAAAAGAGTAACACGTGGTCGAGAAACCGTGCGTCGTTGACGGTCGGGAGACGCACGAGCCGATCTTTGCTCATCGGTTCATCGTGTTTTCGCGCGACTACGAAATGAGCCGAGTACATTAATATATCATTAATATTCGAAGACGAGAAAGGATTCTCGGAAAGGCAGCGTTCGAAACCAGGTTTTATTAATGCGCGGTATGTGTACGCGGAGGCGTCGATGTTTCCGACGATAGACGAAGACGACGCGGGGCTTTTTTCGTGGAAGAAAAAGCGGGACGGTTGTCCGCGGGAGAGAGAGAGAGAGAGAGAGAAGGAATTTCTCGTCTGGACCTCGCCGACTGGTCGAGCCGGTGGTAGTTAATTAAGTGCTAACAAGTAGAGAACTACCTCGCGCAGCGTGGCCACCTCGTCGGAGTAAAATCGTACGGACGCGTCGAACGGAGAGGAAAAAAATAAGACCGAGGAGACGCGGCTACAACTTTATTATTTTATTCGGCGGAGGATTCTTTTCCCATCCTTTCCCCGAGCCGTTATTCTCAGCTTCCGATGTCCTTCCGACGAGGTCCTTGAACTCGAATCCGGAATCGCTCCTGTCTACCGATCGTACAGCTCGTGGAAACGAACTATCGGACAGAAATTAATTACTTATTCGTTAACCCTTTCGTTACCGAGGACGAGACGCCTCACCACCGTCGTCGCCTCTCCGATACCGTAGACTATATTCACGTGTTCGTGAGAACGGGACGTGTTAATTGAGCGAACGGTCGAACATTCGACTTACGGTTACTCGAAAATGTTCCTCCGCCTGGCTACCAAAAATAATATCGACAACAGGCTGTGCCTACGATAACGATGCTCGTCTTCTCTCTCGAATGAATTTGTTCACCGGCCGACATAGGTACTTCGGAGAATAGAAAATACGGAGAATCGCACGGCCTTGGGGACATAAATGCATCGATATAGACGAGTTATATAAGTGGACGACGGCGGCGTAAGATTTTACTCGTAGGCTAAAAACGTTGAGTAACGTCGGAGAGGTCGGCAGAAAATGGAAGGACTTTCGCGTCTATAAATACCTACGTAGCTGTCCCTGCGTCGCTAGATTCCGATTAATTAAACAATTCTCCTATCGTTCGTCTCCGAACATGCGAGGGTCAATGCTCAGACGTTGAGGGAGGTCGGGGTTGATTCGGCGACGGGTATCACTTGATTCGACGAGGAGATCGAGATCGCGCATGGAATGCGTGACGCGGGGGTACTCGCAGGATCTGACCAGCTGTTTGAACGACAAATATTTTGTCGTCAAACTTCTGTTTTGCGTGGATTCGGCGTGTCTATATGTACAGGGCTAATACAAAGCGTTTCGCGTGCGTTTACTAAAATCAGGCCATGTGCGCCCCTCGGATTTAAGGGGCTCGGATAGTCACGTAACTTCGGTTTTCATATTTTCTACTCTGCTTTATTGACACCACACGTTAACGTTGAGAATCATTGCTCAAACCAAACATAATAAAATCGAATAATTCTATATTCTCATTCGCGTTTGATACGAGTCACTCGAATTCTCTGCC